CACTCAGGTTTACTTTGTTTATTATATCTTGCATGAGATATAACAAGTTAAGAAAACCTGGAATGATTTTCTAACACATACAAAATTTTTGGATAACTCAATAACTGAAAGAAATGTGTTCCTCATAAATACAGGGACTCACTATCAGATATGTTCTAATTTTATAGCAAAGAAACTAAATGTTTGTTTTTTTTTAGCCACAAGATTTTTTGAATGCATGTTTTGACCCCTGCCTAATATAGCCATTATTCAAAGACTGTTTTCCATTTATTGTTGTACTTGATTTCATTGGTTTTATCTTTTAATCAATGATATTATTATAATAGTTGGATGATAAGGAGTCCTTTGGTAAATAAAAAAGCTAAGGACTTGAATAGAGAATAGAGGACTGAGAATGCATATGTGAGAAGGCAAGATCTTTTAATTAAAAAGTATCAAATCAGAGGAGAAATACTTACACATCTTGGTTATTCCTTAATAAGTAAACATCTTAATACCCAGGTAGCTTTTGAATTGTTTCAATCAATCCCATAAAATATGTGCAAGAAAAATAAATTGCCAAAATTTTATTAATGTGAATAAGACAGGGAAATAATTTAATTAAGAGGAAGGTCTGCTCAGATCAATGATCACAATGAGGCTGAATAAAACTCTTGTTAAATTCCTTATAACCTCCACCCACTGGTTTACACAGAAATACTTTCAAATAGTCATTTATCAATTTTTATTACCTTTCTTTCTATTATGAGAAGAGGAAAGCTAAAAGAACAAGATAAAAAAAATTCTCAGCTTTATCACAAAGCCATAACATACTGACTATGCCTTGACTATTCTATACTTTTTCAACCCTACTCAGTTGACTCCAAAATATTAAATTGCAGTTGATTCCGTTAAGTTCTTAGAATCTGATGCTTTATTGATTAAAAACTTCACAGATCCCACTACAGTCATCTATTATTCCAACTAGATCAAATCATGTGGTACATTTGGTGGCATATATCAAATGGGAATCAATACAACTGCTACCTTTAGGAGAAATTATGTTCTTTTTGGGATTTGTGATGAAATTGACTTGACTCATGTTGTTGTTGTACAATGAACAGGGTTTGCAGGACTTAATTTATATGGATTGCACACCAGCAAAATTAAACAAAAGATTTAATGGTTACAGGTATGATGTCCAACACAACAATGTGCCATCAACAGAGTTTGCGGAACATTTTATTTCAAATGACTAATTTTGACAAACATATTCTGAATAAAATATATTTTATGTATATTCTGAAAAAAATATCTAGAATCCACTGACCTTTCAGCCCTTAAAAGGCATGAAAATAGTTACATATGCAAACTACTAACATCCTGCCTCAAGGTAATGAACAAAATGTTTGATTAATTCCACTTAAAGCTGAATCCATCATAAAAATACAGGATGTGAAATTAGTAAATGCTAAACATTTCAGATACCTCAGTTTATGGATCAGCTATAACAAATTAAGTATAGGAAAAAATGAAACTGAACAAAAAATATTTATTGCCAGAGGTTCTTTTTTCACGAGCACAGCAACACACACAAACCAAAACATTAACCTAAAAACTAGAGTCATGTCAGATTGAGACTTTTATATGGATGCCATGTATGGCACCAAACCTGTTCAGAAATATCTAAACTGTCAGTTGTATACTACCACTTCCTAAGAAACAACCACTGGATAGGAAATGTAAAAGAAGAGAAAATAATAGTATAATAATAATGTTAATATTCCTTGATATGACCATCGTATTGAATGGCACTGAGGCATTTGCAATGGCGTATCTAGATGACTGGAGGAGGATTTTGAACATCTGCAGAAGGTTAAGAGAACATGGATTAAAGTTACAATTCTTTTATCAAAGTGTATTTTTATGAAAGAAGAGACAAAGTATTTAGGGTTTATCACAAACAAAGAAGAAAAAAAACGTTTTTAGACAAAGTAGAGGTTTTAAAGTAATGCCCACACCAAAGAATTTGAAAGAGATTAGGGGATTTATTACAGCCATCGGATATTATCGGAGGTTCATGCCAACATTTTACTTGATTACATTATTAGCAGCCCTCTAATTTATTAACTAAGAAGCATGCTAAGATTTAGTGGAAAGACAATTATGATTGTGCATTCGAGGCAAAAAGGACCAAATGACAGCTGTGCCCCCTGTTGGCCAAATTCCAGACCTGATGAGTGAAGAATATAAAACTGTATCAACCATGAGGTGGGACATGGGGTGGTTCTTACAAACTATGTCCCAATAAGGATGGACCAGTATATGGGTGTGCCTAGAGGAAGTATATAACATTAAAAATTCATCAAATCTCCAAGACTCTTTTAAAAAGTAATAAAATGAAAGAAAGTTCCTCACCTGCATATGCTAAACAAATGGAGAATTAGATTATTATTTGATCTGGGACTGTGTTTACCATTAAAACAAACCACAAACCCCCTCAAATATTTGTTAGAGGCAGAGTGGACGAATAACAAACACAACAGTGGGCATTGAATTTAAAATGGATATATTTGCAGAATAGAATATTTGATTGGGAAGGATAAAATACCTGTGTCCTGACCTGTTAATTAGTTCTTTCAAAGGCAATTTAAAGAACCAAAATATAGAATCTGTCAGGTTGGATTGTGGATATTAAATTATTCATAAAATTAATTTGATCAATTTTAGTAGTTGAAGGAGAGACATGGTTGGGAAGACAAAAGAAACATACAAAAATAACTGAAACGGAAATTGTTTTTTAACCACTGGAGAGATATTATTAGGCAAAACCAAGGATAGAGATTTCAACTATCAAAACTCATTTTTAATCTGTGGCTATTGAAAATATCAAGCATTATAAACTTTTGGAATGTTTTATTACCTTTCAGGATTCAAAGGTGAGGAAATAAGTTAAAAAATGATGAATTATGAGAAGTTGAGTTTCTGAAATAACTTAGACCATAAAAATAGGAAAGGTTAAAACAATACCTAGTAAAATGATAAAAGATGTATTGTTTTAATAAAATAGAAATTACTTCTGGCCTTTTGTTTAATGATGTTGTGAACCATCCCAAAAAAAATGATGTAACATGCCAAGTTACAGAGTAGAATGCTATAGTATAAACAGATGTCCAAAATTATCCATTTCAAGATTTAAGCATGGATATTTCATTGGGCCCTATGGAGAAAAATAAATAGAGGTAATCTTTACAGACATTTATTTTGTGGACTTTTGACGAATTGGCCTGAGGTTTTGCCATATCGGATATTGCCATGAACGGTGTCAGATATAATCTGAACTAAATTTTCCATAGGCATGGGGGAGAAAAAGTTGGTTACAGATAATGGATTGGAGAATGTAAATCAGATTATGAAGAGTAAGACATTGGGAGAATTAAACATACAGCACATAACCACTTCTCCATATCACCCCAAAGTAACACTAAGGTAGAAAGAATTTCATAAGATTCGCTGATGTGTTTGCTAAACTAACAGAGGATAATAGGGAAAATTGGGATTTATTTGTCAACCCAAGCCCTCCTGTGAGATTCTCGTTGAATGAGACAACAAAATTTTCCACCTATTACTTGATATATGGCAGGGATGTAGTCTTTTGAATTGACAATCTATTACGACCCTGGGAGGAAGTATTTGAGAGGATCATCAATCAAATAGTTTTAGAACAACAGCATAAAATTTCTGAGGTGAGGAAGAAGGATTCAAAGAGCCCAGAAAAGGTGAAACGATTTTTTTTTTAAATAAAAATAGAAGAAGATTTGAATCCAGATAGGCAATCAGTGTATTTTAAAATACACATGAGAGAAGGTAAATTGGACCAGAGATGGAGTCCATACTATGGGATCATGGAGCAGACGGATGGGTTTAATTTTAATCTGGGAACAATTGACTGGACAGGTAAAGAGAGCTAGAATGCAAATGATATAAAAGCTAGCTGATTTAGGTGAATGAAGCGAGCTGAAAAAAAACTCAACAAAAAGGCTGCAAAAGTAGTAGGGCCGAGGGTCAGTTATAACCAGCCGGGTTTATCTATATAAACGTGTAGTTATGCAAAAAAAGACAGACGGGAGAAAAGAGAATTGGCCCAGGCAAGCATTAGGAAGAGAGACGCCATTATAACTTTAAGCACCGCACAGAAATCTTTATTCCTCCATCGCAAGAGTCATATATCAATCTGAGATGATTTAACAACAAGATAATCACATAGACTCTCTCTCTCTGTATCTAGAATCCAGTGTATGAGTTTTTTTTTTGTTTTTTTTTTACTTTTCTTTTCTGTAAACCGTTTCTCTTCTCTACTATTCTTTTCTGCTATATAAAAGACATTACCAATTCAACCATTGAATCGATGTTTGTCCGGCTTTCTGCAGATATTAATTTTTTTTTTTTTGCTGCATTCTAAATTTCTTAGCGCAGACTCCCCAGCTGTGTCTACATCTTCAGTCGACCATGAATAGATGCTTTCTGGATCAAACAAATCACAACGTGGGCAGGAAGCAGGATTAAACCAGCAGACCAGTCGAATAATCTACAGATGCTCAGGGGACCTATGGCCACTCCCTTAAGTTCGGTTAGGACCAAGTAGACACTTCAACCATGAGAGTAAGACGCCGGAGGTTGAGGGGCCGGGGCGAAAGTGTATTCTTTTTGAATAGTAAAAAAAAGGAAAAAAATCTATTCTTATTACAATAAAAAAAAATGAAAAACATTAGTTTTAATGAACAAAATCATAGCAATTAGTCAATGATAAATGAAGACTTCATAATGACTCATAAATACAGAAAGTAAATTGTATTGATTATTCTGATTACATGCAAGATGTCTTTTTTTTAACGGTTATCAAAATTTGTTTTCAAAATAAAGTTTGGTCAAGTCAAAACTGGCTTAGAAATATTGCAAGTCATAGGTATAAAATTCTGATTTTAAAAAAAGTAAGTAAACTTAGAATTTAAAGTGCTTACCTTACAGATTTGGTAACGGAGAAAAAAGTCAAGCAGAAAAGATTTTCCTTTTCTAAAAGCACCAGTTACCGAAATAACCACCACTTTTTTATCTTGCACATCTGGCCTTAGTAGCACTTTAGCTAATGCATTTTCATCGAGGATAAATTCATGATCCTCTTGGGCAACAACAATTTGAACAGGATAACCTTGTGTCATGCCTACCCTATTCCCTGGAAGAGAAAATAAAAATATTTGTTATAAGTTGGGCAGATATTGCAGATATTTCAGATATAAGTCATTTATAGTATATAAACATGTTAAAGTAAAAAATTAAATAGATAATATGTTGCAAAGATTTTGAAGGGGTGCATTTAAATGAAGTTGTATAATTTACTACTTTTTCATCTTATAAAATATTTTACACAAGTTTTGAAACTATACATTTTATTTCAGCTTTATCAAATTATAACTTCCCATGTAGGAATTAGGTTTTAACAACAATTTCTCTGTATAGGAAGTTTATTTTTGGTTATGAAGACAGATTATAAACTTCTTTTAATGTAGCAATATTATATGGATGTTCTGTAATATAAAATGAAACTGCAACATTCTAATAGATTATGCCAATTGTGAATTGCGTGTAATAAATGCTTGATTACATTTTTTCCTTCCTTTTAAGATCCTACCACAAATTAGACTTTAAATTCATCATAGTTTCAAATAACTTCCTTTTATAGCTTAACTTTTTGACTTCAATGAAAGCAAATAATGGGGGTTTTGTTCTTTTTTTCTCTGTTCTTCACAATTAATTTACTGGTTAATGTACAGAAGAATTCTGCTCTTAAATTTTTCAACATAAAGAAAAAGTTAAGAACTTTAAAACTTCAGTCACTCTTTATTTTTATCTTAGGTAATTAGCAACTAAACCAGCTCCGACTACCTCTTGCCACAGAGTGTAAGGGGAGTAGTTAGCAATTTTATAGAGCAAAAAAAATAAGTCCTGTAAAGAACTCAACTGAATCAACAGCTAACTAGAGGTTGTGTCAAAGTCAACATGGAGAAGGTAATGAGGGCTACTTACTATCATTCTCAAAACAAATATCAGAGAAAATGGCATGAAAGAGGAAAAATTAATTGGAACTGACTCCTTGTCTGGTAAGGAGAAACCTTTGAGACAGGTGTCACCTGACTGTCCATCCAATGACTGTTCACAACAGACAGAACTGTAATCAGGGATGGAATTATATCAATGTGGGTAGCTAGAAAATTTTAAACAGGAAATAAAAAAGTTAAACATTAACATTCTGGGATTAGGTAAAACTAAATGGACAAATAATGGGGATTTCATAAGCAATAGCATAGGGTCATATATGCATGTGGAGAGGAAAATGAAACGAGCAGAACTCATACTTGACAAAGACCTGAAGAAATGTGTTCTGGGATAGTGCCAATTTTCTGACATAATTCTAGTCAAGCCATTTAATATATCTGCAATATTATGCTGGAAAGGTTTGACATTCAATTTCACACCAAATCATCAAAGGAAACCAGGTACAGCATTGATCTGAGATGATTCAAACAAGGGATAAAAATTCATGATTTACCTAGTGACAGTAGTGACTGAGATGTGAACATTTGTAAGTCTGACTACATTTAATATGTGCATGTGTGTAAAAAAGAAAAATAGTTGGACAGATGGATATGTAAGCAACCACTCCACTGAGGAACTAGGTTGTCTCTCATACATTGTAGATGAGAATGTAAGGATACACACACAGGTCAAGGGAAATTAATAAAGAAATGAAATACAGAGTAATGTTAAATGGAATCTTCAAGTCTTGTTTTATTGTTAGTCAGCACCCCTATTTCATTATATATCCATTCTTTCTTTTTATGTGCCATGTCCTTTCAGGACGTAGATGACCATGGCTCTCCACCTCCATCTATCCCTTGCAGCTCTTAACAAGTTCCCTCCCTCTGCTTTGTCCCCCAGACCATGTTCTGTCATTCACCTGCTCAAGCTTGCCAGGTATTTCATGCGCTGCTTTCCCTTGTCTATCTTTCCCTTTATTCAACTCGTATCAGATTCTTCAGGCCCTCCTTCCTCATGTGTCCCAGAAACTTCAGCTGCCGCTTCCTGATATTAAGTATAAGCCTCCTCATTGTTTGCATCCTCTTGTCTCGCAATACTCTACCCAGCTTTTGAAATGCATCCTTGGCTATCCCAATATGTCTACAGATCTCAGTGTCACACTTACCATCCTCTGTCAAGACACTTACCAGATAGTTAAACTTCTGCGTCTGCTTGATTCTAGTATTCCTGACCTGCAAATCATATTTCGGGCTCATCCTCTTACTGATAACCATGCATTCTGTCTTTCTTTTCCATGTCTGCTATCAGTACTGTGTTATCTGTATATCTTATGTTGTTAAGTTTGTGGTTGCCAATGGTTCACATAATGAGGAAAAGAGTGTATGGAGAATTTGACACTCAAAGTATTAATGCAAGAGGTGCAGCAGAGAAAGCCCTTGAGTAACCTAGATAACAAGCTTGCACAAATGGATGACAGAACTGGGAGCAAGAGTGATAGTAAGTGAATATTACTTAAAGCTACAAAATATAGGAAGCTGTGAAGAGCTATAATCATCTGCATCTTGAAGGGAGACAGTACCTAAAAGAAAAATCAGATAGAAGATATTCTAATCTAATTTTCAAACTCTTTGATTCTCTTGATATACTAACACTCATACCAGTGCATGTTTGAGATTTAAACAATGACACATGCTGTGATAAGATTCAATATGACAAAACAGTTCAATGCAAGTAGGTTTCATACCATAGAAATGTACATACATGCCTCTTCAATTGGAGTAATTTGAAATTGGGTTTATAGAAATTTGAGAGGCTGGATACTTGTTTCAATGAGCTGTTACCCCTTGGTGGAGTCACATTGGTGATGCTTTGACATTGGCAACAGTAGTTAAATGAACATTCCTACATGTTTAGACTATGTTCTGGATAACCACTTACTACAGACTCATCAGCTGCAGTTTATTCCAATGCATCCATAGTAAAGATGAGAGAAAATGTGGGCCCAAAAATGTCAGTATAGTCCGTTCACAAATCATTTACTTGAAGCAAGACTATGGGCACATGTGCCTCTAGCCAGACTCCCATTTACACCATAACATGAACATCTCCAGTGGTATCACAAGAAAATTATCTAGGGAATCAAAAAGCACTCAAAACTTACTTTCATTAATGAACACTGGAGAGAATACTAAAAACTATGAAAATAAAAAAAAAGTAAAATTAAGAAAGCTATAAAAGAAAAACTAAGGAATAATAAAGGTTCACTTGACATTGAAACTGAACTTTTGAAAATAGTTTACCATCTCCCTGAATTTAATAACAAGTTACTTCATGAAGGAAGTCTGGAAACAGAAATGCATCCACCAAAAGTGGAGGTGTTATTGCACAGTAATACTCTATGGAAACTAAAAGGTAGTCCTCAAAACCCTCACACATACAGAGAGGTTATGGTGAAAGTACTAATGAACAATATATTAACTGGGCTCTCATCATTTTATGAAAGTCAACACCTCACAATCCAGTTTGGTTTTCATTCTGGTAGGGGAGGTAAAGGTGGCATATTTGTCATCAAACAACTCCAGGAGATTGCATACCTCTCCAATAGAAAATTGTATCCCTTCCATGTCGACTTCACAGCAGCATATAACCACATCAACAGGGACTTCCTTTTTTTCCATTAGAAATTCTCTTCCAAGTTATGATACTATTGAATGCCTCAATTTAATAAAGAAACTATATTGTTTCCCACAATTATACATGTCTGCTGAGGCAAGATTTCAAACCTCATCAGGAGTATGACAAAGAGAAAATGAGAGCATCAATCTATTTAATCCTTTTCTAACTATGCCTTGCATATACAAGCCAAGATGTAAAGAGATGAGCATAATAGAAAACAGCAATCCAGCTTTCCCTGAAAAGGTCAGTGAAATTATGATGAGTGGTGGGGGGTTGCTGATGACATTAGTGTTTGGATCAGTTATAACAAATTTAGTTTAGGAGATAAGGAAACTGAACATAGAATTAGCTGTGTTACAAGTAGTTTTACCCAACACTGCCAATTGCTACAAAACCAAAACATTAACCTAAAAATTTGAGTCTTGTTCTTAAATAGCCTTGTCAGGTCGAGACTTTTATGGATGTCATGCACAATGCCAAAATCCTTCAAAGTATCTAAACTGTCAGCTATATATAACTGCTTTAAAATTGCTTTGAGTGAATTATGAAATATATAGGTCTTAGTGAGGACCATTATTCTTCAAACTTTGTAGACTGGCATTACAGAATCATAAACAAAAAACTGCATCAAATAGTAGAAACCATATCATGTGAGGACTTTCAACAGCTAAAATGGAGACCACATGTAACTTGAAGAGAAAATAATGACATAGTAAAGGTGTTGATATTCCACACTACTTCAAACGAAAGTTTAGAAAAGTATCCCCTATCAATACTGGAAAAAGGGATAACAGCTTATGAACTATTTTCCTGAAAAATTGTTTTAAGAGAAAGATTTCATAAATTTCAACTGAAAGTAGCACTGGGTGATTGGTAACTGAATGCAAAATGTTATAAGGAAACAGCTAATATTACCATTATGATGAAAAATTGAATGTTATTCATTTTTCAATTTTTGAATAATTTTAAAACTCAACATTTGCTATTTATGCATTAAAAGAACAAAAATTAGCATACAATTAAATCTCGAAACAGTGTTAAATCATACACACACACACACACACACACACAAATGGTATTGGAAAGTTTAGGTAATACTTCCCAAAATATGACCAAACAGAATTTTTTTAATCCCTTCTTGCTCAGTGTAACAAGGTGAGTGGGGCCTTTGACCTGTTGTGGCATGTGAACTCCATCACAACCAATGAATTAAGTTATAAGTGATGTCAGGTCTCATTTTTGGATGTAAGACAAGGAGAATACTAAAAGAAAAATGGTCAAATCTGAATAGAGAATTGCTGAAAAAAAAAATTGAAAATTAGTTAAATATTTAACTAATTTCAAAATTAAAAGGATAATCCATAAGACTCTTACAATATTGGTTGCCTCAATATTCTGTTTCAGTAAACTTACAACCCCATGTATATAAAACTGCTGTTGGAAATTT